CCTCTTGCCCACCTTGCACTTGAGACCTGTCAGCATCCATCAAACTGTGCACGTTTTAAGCAGTTGTTGATTAAAGCCAAAGCGCATCCAATAAACAGCATGCACAATTATCATAGCTTTGTGTATTGTTTGTGTAAACTATGCCCAAACAAACAGTTGCAGCCTGATTTCACATTTAGCATTCCGCTGTCAACATTCATCTCTGCAAAAGTGACTCATTTGCTCCTAGGATTTCCCAGCATGCTGGGTGTTACACAACACTGTGGCCCTTTCATTGTCTCTTTGTGCCCCTCTCTTCTTCTATGTAGCTCACGCTCGCACAGAGCCAGAACCACACACGCAGCAGATTACAGACGGATTGAGGGGAGCACAGAAGGAGGACAGCCTTCATCTGACCCTTGTTTTGACCATAAAATGACCTTTTGAAAAACCCAAATCCAAATGTCAACAAAAGATTATCCCCACAGAGTCCCAAAACACAATTTCCCTCTCAACCCGATTGACACGGCTCTTGATACGGGGACTGACCGAAACGTGACAGCAAAGCACGAGTTTGCAGCGTATTTGGTAGCATTATCTTGTGGCTGTGTTGGGTGATATTGCCTTGTCGCGTGTAACCAGCAAAACAGTTGTTGAGCTCGAAACTACTGAAATTGAATTTGAAATCTTTTATGTTACTGTAAGGTAGAATAGGATGAAAAATTCTAGAAAATGCCAGACTTTCCATAACTGAAGGAACTATTGATCATCCAGTCCTGCTTGACACAAAAACTCATGTTCTTAACTTCTCATGTCTTTTTGATTCACACCTAATTTTTCATCATCCAGAATGTGAATAAGTACAGTAGTGTCACAGAGGAAGAGTGTCACAGTCCTTATCTATCGCAGAGTGAAATTTAGTCTGAGCTGTGGTTCCTTTGTTACTTGATTTACTTCCAGGAGTGTACACATTTGGCTTCTCGTTTCTGACTCATTATAATTTCTTTGAACACACTGTAATTATACTCAGATAAACATGTTCCTCGTATTTGTTACTGAATCTCAATTTGACAGTTCTGCAACCCTGGGTCATTCATGAGGCCGAAATTACTTCCCAGTCAATAATAGGGGTGTAAGAAAATATTTAAAAAAATCATATCGCTGTATTTTGTTTTGTGATATTGCGTCAGTTCTCAAAAACACTATACATTTTTGTCCTTAAATGCCCAACCCCTAGATTGCAGTATTGTAAAAGTAAACTGAGGGCTATGATGATGGATGGATTCTGTTGTGGTTGCGTAAAAAATTTTACTTAGACTTCAATGCATATGATGGTATGTTCTTCATAGTGGAAGAGTTTTCCTAATGTAGATTTAAAAAAAAAAAAAAGACAATATAATGCTTACAGCAACGTAGTTGGTATTGGTCATGCCCAATACAGTCTTATGAGATCAAAGGCAGGCCCCCCCCCCCCCAAAAAAAAAAAACTAAACAAAAAAACAACACCAATTCTGTTCAAATGTGTGTATTAAACCACTTTAGTCAGGGATGTGTTTATTTGTCAGTCATTTGTGAACGTAATGAATTTAAAGTGCTGAAACAGCACCATTGTTTCTGTGTGTGTGTGTGTGTGTGTACATGTATATCTGTACAGTATTTCCTGTCAGAACATGCTTCCTGGCTGACCCCACAGGACCCTTTGAGCCGGTCTTGTCCATTAACTCTCTGCTGTCATGGATTATACTCCGACCCTGCAAATCCCAACATCATTCCTGCTTTGCGGCAGCACCTTCCAGACTGCTAACTCTCCTCCTGCTCTCTGAGTTCAGAGTCATGTGTGAGTAGGGTCATCACCTATGTCGACCCCAGTCATTGGTGGAAAAATTNNATAATAATAAAAAATAATAATTTCTCTTATAGTTTTCTTACATATTCACAAGGTTGCTGATGTACATCCACTTGGTTGTGGAGTCAAGCTTGTTAGCTATGTTTTAATTATGTTTCATGTTGTCTTTCCAATATTGACCATCCCATCAATAATGAATGTCCATTAGAATCAGACTTGTCCTGTCACAGCTCTGCATGTCTCCTGAAATCCCACGATGCTGCCAACACAGACATCTTAATCAATGAAAACCACACTATTGCACCTGGCAGATGGCGTTCACTGAGTCCTATTTGGCTCTGTGGTCATTACCCTGAAATGTGTATTAAGCCACATACACACATGCTTGTAAGCACACATATACAAGCAGACACACACATGCACTCACACACACACACACACACACAAGGTTGCGTGTGAAGGTCTCCCCCGGTAGCGGTAGCAGAGCTTTAAACCTGGGCTAATCTGGAAGGCTGCTTACATATTGTTGCCAGTGGATTTGCATTGATACCAAAGCTCCCTGTAGCTTTAACGGCAGCCACTGACAGTGTTAACGGGACCGTAGGACCTTTTTAGACCCCCAATCCCACCTGTCACAACAAATAAAATATCAGCCCTGGTGAACACTTTATTACATCAGCATGGTATTTAGAAATAATCTTAAAACCTTAGAGGGTGGAGCCATGTCACAGCACTACATCTTGTCCATGTGACTGTGGACTGCTGCTATCTTTGTCAGTAAAGATTTTAACACATATATACAGTATGTGATTAATAACCGCTTTGCAGTTGTTTATGATTTAATAGGTAAAAATGCAATGCTGGACTTCTAATTCTGAATACTATTGTTGGTAGTATAAGTACAGGTTACTCTATTGTTTCCATGTGTATCTATTTTCTACTCACTCTATTCTGCAGAGACACACAGTGTATTTGCTTTTGTCATTTTATGTCCATTAATTTTGTTGGGAAATGAAGCAACTCATTCAGCAAAAGAAAAGCACGTGAACCACCATTAATGTGTTTTTATTATTACTTTAGTTGTATGTGCGATCACACGTGGCACAACATCACCAAGGGGATTCTCCTCTACTATCTCCTATCTTTGTTTAAAGAAGTGTATCTGAGCCATAAGCTTGCATAATTTAGTACACATAAATACACAATAAGCAATGTGTGCTCAAAGGGAGTTCTGCTTGTAGTGCACGGATTTGCACACTAGGGTGCAGTACAGTAGGCTGCCATACAGACTACATACTGTGCATATTTCCTCAGGCTATTGTTATATATTATAATGTTCCAATGACAAGACATGTTACAGTGGCATACTTTATTATTGTAAAGTGTTACAACTATCAAAACAAAAATGTAAAAACATTTAAAAGACAATCATTCCTCTACTAACTAAAAGTACACATAAAAGCATGTTTGATGGTTATTTTAATTTTTTTAAATCTATAAAACATATTTTAATACAGTTACAACACCATACAGCTTTAGTGCAGAATCATGAGCATGGCGTGACACAAGCTGTCTGTTTGTTCCTCGTCCGTTTGTTTTTGCAGCGGTTTGTAGCCGTAGAGGAAAAAATCACTCAGTGACTCGTTGGTTCTGTATATGGCTTTACACACGAAAACTGATGTAACCTTTTTATAAGCATTTTTTATAGCAACATTAAAGACAAATGTCTAAACCGAAAAATAAGATGTTGGTAAAACAAACACTGCCTCGAGACTATACGTCATATTTGAAGCTTTTTCTTCGACCAGTCTTTTTTAAAAAAAAAACATATTTCGCTATAAATAACCAGCTACGTTGCATGACATACAGGCTGCTAAAGCTTTTATTGGTTACTGAAATCAGTTTTAACCGATGAGAGAATAAACCACAGGCTATCCGCTTAATTTAACGTCCCCTTTACTTTTTTTTTTTTTTACAATGACGACGAAGTCATTTTAGGACATGGTAACTCTATGAGTTAGTCGGCCGTGTCTTAATTAGTCAATGAATAATTAAATTCGGTATCCAATATTTTACAGGAGTGGAATCGAAGCCTACCTCAGTCAAGTCAACCAGATTGTACGAGAACTTCCGGTTGTAATATACAAAATAAGACGTACACACAACGATTTAATTACTCATACCTTTTAAAATATGGTTTAAGAAATAAGTGCGATATTGATTAATCCGTTCACACACAGTGCAGTCACATTTTACTCCACAGACTCTACAGATGAACCCCACTACACTGGATAAAGTATAAGATCCACGACACACTAATGCTTTTGCTTTGAAGGCATAAATCATCTTCCGGTGTAAACCTGTAATCTCTACCGAGCTTGACGTAGCTGTAAAATCTGTCCCAGAGAGCCAACTTGATTCCGAGAGCTACATCCACTGAGTTCATTATTGGTTATAAGAAACCCGGTCCGGTCCAGAGCGGTGCTGTGTTCAGGTACAGCAG